AATATTCCTTCATCCCAGGAATCAGCCTAGTGATTCTCTTTTGAACTGCCTCCTTATGTCACAAATTAACACCTAGTTTGATTATTGTTGCTTGCGGTGTGCAAATTGCTTGCACGTTTTCCTACAAAAAGGACCACAATTCAAAAAGTGTTTAATAGGCTGCAAAGTGCTTTGGGATATCCTGAGGTTGTGAAAAACTCTATATAAATGAATGTTCTTTATGAATCTGGAGAGTAGAAACTGGTCACTGAATGTCTGGCATTCATTAATTTTTTTTATTCACTCACAAGATGTGGGCAACTCTGGCCAGGCCGGCATTTATTGTCCACCCATGATTGCCCAGAGGGCAGTTAAGAGTCAATCACATTGTTGTGGGTCTGGAGTCACATGAAGGCCAGACCAGGTAAGGAAGGCAGAATTCCTTCTCTAAAGGACATCGGTGAACCAAATGGGTTTTTTTGATAATTGTTTCACAGTCATCATTAGACCCTTAATTCCAGATTCTTTATTGAATTCAAATCCTGCCATCTGCCATGGCAGGATTTGAACCCAGGTCCCCAGAACATTAGCTGAGTTTCTGGATTATAGTCTAGAGATTAGGCCCATTGGGCCCATTGTCTAGAATACAGTGAAAGGGCCTGAAAGGGTTAACGTTGAAGAGTGCTATCAGTACCATCCACTATGATTAAGTCATATGAGAATAACTTGAGATCTCAAAGGAGTAAGACCACCAACTGGGTCTTCTTCATAGTCTCATAACAATATCTATCATATTGATGTAACTCGTACATAGTTACCATCATACAATAAACAATATGAGCCTCTTATCATTAATCTACCATGTGATTTTCCTCTATCACACTAGACCAAGTAGGCCCTGCAGGTCCCTACCAGAAGGATGATGGTGGCAGCAAATCTACCAGTTAGATTATATAACATCACGAACAATGGTGGGGTTTCATCTTACAACATGTTGGCAACAGCATGCTTTCCAATCAGTTGCATTCTACAACATTGGCAGCAGGGGAAATTTAAGGATTTCTTCAGGCACAGTTTTAAGAAACTGCTTGCGAGACGGTCTGCAGCTTGAAAAACTGATCGTTTGAGAAGAGAACTTCCTAGCAATATACAACAAGGCAGAAGCTACAATCGATGGTTAAAGGCATTTCAAACCTCGTAAGGGATGCTCAACAGCAAGAGTGAGCTCAGAACGCCATGGAGCTGGAGATCTAGTCACAGTGAGATGGTTTAAAGGTTGCATTGGCTGCTAATGATCTGTAGGAGCCATCCCAATTTGAAGTACAGCCAGAGACTGAATGCATATCGGAGGCTTCATGAATAAATTTGAAATCCCTGGTGAGCAAGCACAAACATTTTGTTTACAAATGGCACAATTTGTGGGCAACGAAAGCGAGAAATAAAATGCGGCTTAGATGGAGCATCGCCACCAAAGTGAGTGGCACCTTGAGTAACGTTCCCTCTCAGCTGCGTGGTTTCATTGTGTGTAGCCACTCCCAAGGTTCCACACACAGCAATCAGCTTCATCAATCATGACAATGACTTCCGATTCCAGAATTAGCTGCTGTACCTGGACTTCAGAGACCCACACAGCCAGAATGAAAATGAGAAGGAATGCTGACCATGAGGCACAGTTACAGTCAGGGAAATCAAGGGCCACAGAAACAATTTAATAAGAGGTCGTAGACCTTGCAATGTTGTGAAGCCATAATTAAAGTGTTAAACGGGCAATTTAGAAACCTGAACAAACAAAGTCTAATGGGGAAAGAAATTAGGAGACTATTGAAGCCACGGGAAAGACATTATTTAAACTGCAGTTAAGTCAGGAAAGATTTAGTTAAATCCCATGCTGCAGGATTCATCCAGGAAGAAAGCAACAGGGACCATTATTTACAGCCGTGGACAGCAGGAAACAATCGGCTATGTAAAACAATTAAAAACAGGATTCATTCTGTAGAGCAAGTAAGAGTGGGATTCTTTTAGTAAGGCTGTTAAGAGAACAGAATCATTATTTAACCCATTGTCAAAGTGGAGTTAAAGTAAAGTTGTTAAGGAAATGAGAATTGTTTATTACTTATGTCATTCATCTAGAGAAGGTGCAGAGAAGGTAGAAATCATCCATTTTACTCACAAAAGGCAGGAAACCTTCATTTTGACCACAAAAGTTTGGAAAAGGCTTCCAATGTGGCTGGAAGCAGTAGCAGCGAAACTAAAAACCTTTGAGGCAAAGGAAGTAAATAATCACATCAGAAAAAATGGCAGCAGAAATAATATTGCCCTAAAGTTTTATTTGAGAGATGGGCAAAATAGAACACAGAGTTGGAAACCATAGAGGGAACAGCTTTTAAGACGTTGAATTGCTTCCAAACAGGAAACTCAGTCATAAACTAGGCACTTCCAGTTGCGAACCACTACAACTCCCCCTCCCACTCCTTGGACGACATGTCCATCCTGGGCCTTCTCCAGTGCCACAATGATGCCACCCGAAGGTTGCAGGAACAGCACCTCATATTTCGCTTGGGAAACCTGAAGCCCATTGGTCTCAATGTGGACTTCACAAGCTTCAAAATCTCCCCAACCCAACCTCATCCTAAAACCAGCCCAGCTCGTCCCCGCCTCCTTGACCTGTCCGTCTTTTCTCCCACCTATCCGCTCCTCCCACCTCATTGGCCAACACCCACCCCCACCTCCTACCTACCAGCCTCATCCCTGCCTCCTTGACCTGTCCGTCTTCCCTTGACTGACCAACCCCCATCCTAACTCCCTACCTACACTCACCTTTACTGGTTCCATCCCCGCCCCCTTGACCTGTCCGTCTCCTCTCCACCTATCTGCTCCTTTATCCACCTTCCATCCACCTCCCCCTCTCTCTCTATTTATTTCAGAATCCCCTTCCCGTCCCCCATTTCTGAAGAAGGGTCCAGACCTGACCGAAACGTCAGCCTCTCTGCTCCTATGAAGCTGCTTGGCCTGCTGTGTTCATCCAGCCCTGCACCTTGTTGTTCCAGACCTGAAATGTCAGCTTTCCTGCTCCTCTGATGCTGCTTGGCCTGCTGTGTTCATTCAGCTCTACACCTTGTTATCTCAAGCAATAAAAATGTTCTCCAGATTTAAGGACTTCCCAGACCTCGCACTGTTAAGAACAAAATCAAAGTCAACAATCTTCAACCCTGAGACCTACCAATCTTCCAAGTTCGAACAGAACATATTCTGGGGAAGTAGTGAACCTCCAGACTGCCTGAATTTTGCAAAGTCAGGGGTGTGGGTGGATATGGGGTAGTGGTAAAAGTAAATATATACACAGAAGTATAAATGTTCATGATGGAAAATAGCTTCCAGATGGTGATGGAGATATTGTACAGGGTGTAAAGGTATGAAAGAATTAAAGCTGAAGAGTGCCTTAAGTATCACTCACCATCATGAAGTTATAAGGACATGGTGGCAGAACAAGGTAAGATATTGAAGAGGTAAGCATATCAACTGGGTCTTCATCATTGTTTCTGTATCATAATAATAATAATAACTTGTATGTAGTTGTTACCGTGCAATAAACTATATTTAGTCAAGATAGGAGCCTCTTGTTAAACTACCTGTGATTTCCTTCACTAGACCAAACAGTCCCTGTAGATCCCTACCAGGAAGGAGAAAAAGATGACAGCAAATCCATCAGATAGCTCAAATAACATGATGCACAGTAGTGAGGATTCATCTTATACATCTAAAAGCTTAATATTATAGATAGAGCTCGGGGGAGGTCATTTGATCTATAGGGTCTGTAGCAATCAAAGAAATGCTACCCTGTCTAATCCAACCTTTCAACTCTTGGTCCGTAGTCCCACCAGATTGTTTAAAAATCCAACAAGGGCTTTTCCTTCAATCTATCACACTTTCAGGCAGTAAGTTCCAGATCCCCAACAATCTCTGGTTGAAAAATATTCTCAACTCCCTTCAAATCATTTGACTAATTGCTTTAAATTTATGCCCTCTGGGCTACTTACTTCTCTGCTAAGGGAAATATATTGTTCCTATCCATTCGATTTAGGCTCCTCAGTTCTAAATACCTCAATTAAATCTCCCATAAGTTTATTCTGCTCCGAAGACAACAAACCCTGTCTAACAAATCTTTTCAAATACCTAAAATTTTCTATTCGTGGCAATATTGTGAATCTCTCTTGTATTCTCTGCAGTCTGATTACACCTGGTTTATTTGTAAAAGGATAAAGAATTATGTTAAAATATGCAAGATGATGAACCACTGGAGCCCATGATTGGGAAAGCAGGAGTTCTGGAGTTGGAACATAAAGAAAGAGGGCTGAGCAAGACACAGATTTGGAGCTCATATGGCGAATTTTACTGGGGAGTTTGGATCCAGATTTGTGCTTTGGCCTTGTGCAGTCGGGAGCAGATATAGAATATTGCATTTGAAAAGCATGTTGAGGCCAATCAAAGATCAGATGTGGTGGTTATATGCCTTCCTAATAGCATTGCCGACTTAAGTTGACATATTCCTGCAGATTTAATCAAATGATCTTTTAGCCCAAAATACTTTCCACTTATTCTGACATTTGTATAAATAAACAAGTATTTCAGGAAAAGAAAACTTTTTATTTTGCAAATGCCGCAGTGATTTGTCAATGAATTGCTTCCAGCAATATCCAGTGATTTTTTTTATAATTCTTAGAGAATTTAGGACTATCTGGGGGGGATCCTAGTGCGATGAGGTTTCCACCAACGAACAAGGAGCTGACAGAAGACATTTATCTGAGATTAACAGGACTCATTCAGCACAATGTCCCTTTACACCCCCTGTCCTTCCAATTGGATGCGCTAAGATTCCTCTACTGGAGTATGAACAGTGACCTATAGGTGGCGAATGTAATGGGAGGATCATTTCTCTGGCACCACCTTCTGCGACCATCTTGCTGTGGCCGTTTGTTCGGAGCTTTGGACCCGCTGGAAACTCCAAATCGCCATTGGTGGGTTTCCCCTAGCAACGGTGACAGTGGCTCGACCAATGGGTGGCCCCGTTATTGATGCCGGGCCGCTATGCGATGGAGGTAGCACCGGCTCCTGGTCGTTATGTCGGGGATGTGAAGCAACAGCTGCGGGACGGTGAGGAGCCGGAGTCGGCCGGTTAAATGGGGCAGTGATATGGGCTGGTTAATGGGGTAATACCTCCAGAGAGTACAGTGCTGATGGGCAGTTGTGTTGCTGCTCGTTTTATTTTGTTTCACGTCTCTGGTTGCTGTAATGTGTCAGGCGTGTTAGCTCAGTGGGCAGTGGTCAACCTGCTCGTTATATCGTTGCAAGACAGTTTAAACAATGTGCAAGATATGGAGAATCAATAGCAAACTAAACTGTTTACTTTGATATAATGTACACATATCAAAGTGGATGCTGTTTCACTTCTCCCTCCTTAATGAATATATTTCATTCAATTAGTCTTTGTTATAGAAAACTTCTCAAACTCAGACCAGGATGGTTTAAGGTTCTTTCCCAAATTCCAAAACTTCGAGTCAAGAAACAAGATTTCCTTTTAGGGATAGGAAACCAATGATTAAATTAGATCTGTAAATGAACAGAAAATAAAAATGTATACTGTATCAATTTTGAACGTTATGAAGTATATATATATATATATATATATATATTCATTAAGGAGGGAGAAGTGAAACAGCATCCACTTGTGGCCCTGTGTACATTATATCAAAGTAAACAGTTTAGTTTGCTATTGATTCTCCATATCTTGCACATTGTTTAAACTGTCTTGCAACGATATAACGAGCAGGTTGACCACTGCCCACTGAGCTAACACGCCTGACACTTTACAGCAACCAGAGACGTGAAACAAAATAAAACGAGCAGCAACACAACTGCCCAAACATTAACTCTGTTTTCTCCTTCACAGATGCTGCCAGACCTGCTGAGCTTTTCCAGCAACTTTGTTTTTGTTCCTGATTTACAGCATCCACAGTTCTTTTGGTTTTTAATTTTTGCCCTTGATGTTCAATTGAATATTTCCCTCCATCGGACTTGTCTGATTGACTGTAATTCAGACCTGAACTGGTTTCAGGCACAACATGTGTAGAAGGAATTCTCTATTTGTGTCCCAACCACATCACGACAACAATTTTAAAAAATTGATGTTTCAACAATTCACCCCCTTCTCTTTATTACAATGTTTCCTTAACCGAAGGGAAAAAAAAGTAGAGTGAATGGGGACAAAGTATCAAAGTCCTTCTTCATTTTCCACTCATTTAAATGCCAGTTAGGATACACAGATGTTAGCAACAGAAATCAAATTAACAGAAGTGTCTCCTTTCCAATTGCAAAAATAATAAATGTCAAATTATACTTCAAAGAGAATGTATTATACCAAAATATGTTGCTGTGTCTGTTGTGGACTCCCAATTGTTCTGATACCCAGGAAAGCCTCTGGTGTATAGGCTGACAACATGTGCTCTCTCTTCAGAGAGACCCAAGCATGGAAATAGTTGTGGAAGAGACTGGCAGTTGGTCTGAAGAACCTCCTTGACTGCTTGCTGCCTGGACCTGTTCAGCTCGACCAAGGAGCAATTCTCATGAGGAGATCCTTTGATTTGCTTCCCCCTTAATTATAGACAGCCAAAGTGCAGGAATGTAATTTTTTTCCATAAATTAAAGAGCAGTCCAGGTGGAAGAGGGGTTGGAGCCTCATTCCACCAGTTTCCAAACTTCAAGTGAACCTCAAGTTTGTAAACCTTTGTCCCAGTGGCAATAGGTGTCAGTATATCACGTCTCTTATGATGTTAGTTACATATTCCTAGGTGTCATCTGGGTAACTTTATGCTGTCTGCATGTAATTGGAAATTTTTTTGTAAGTTTCAGACTTTAGCTCAGAATGAAATACTTTTTGATTATTTTGCTGTTGTAATTATTTGGGGAAATTCAACCTTTGTAACCAACCAGAACATTGTTTTTTATTTCTTCCAGGGTTTGGTCTGTATGTTTATCCAAACAGCTTTTATCAGTATGAGGGAGAATGGAAAAATGGGAAAAAACATGGTAAGTTATTCACATGCTGCTGTCTGAAGTATAACATCCATTGTATATTGTCAAACAAAGAAAGAGCTTGCATTTGGAAGTCAACTTCCCAAATCTTGAAGTTTCTGAAAGCCCTTAGAGCCAATGAGTCACTTTTGAAGTGGAGACCCCTGATTTAACACAGGAAAGAGGGCAGCAAGTAATAATGACCAGATAATCTATTCCAGTGATGTTGGATGAAACATAAATATTGCCCAGGAGATTGGAAAGCAAATCCTCACTCTTTTTCATAATCGTACTGCAGGATCTTTTATGTCTAGTTATGGTGGTTTGGTGTCTCGTTCGAAAGGCAATATTTCTGATACTGCTGCATTCCTTCAGTTCTGCACCAGAGTCAGCCTAGATTTTTTGTGCTGGTCTCTGAAGCGGGGCTTCAAACCCACAATCTTCTAACTCAGAGGCTAGTATGCCACCACCTGAGCAGCGCTGATATCTGTAAAATGGTATACTTTTATAAATTTGTTTCTCTTTATATGCCTTCTCATAGAGTCATAGAGATGTATAGCACGGAAACAGACCAAGACAGGTCCAATTCGTCCATGCCGACCAGATATCCTAAATTAGTCTAGGCCCGTTTGCCAGCATTTGGCCCAAATCCTCTAAATGCTTCCTATTCATATACCCATCCAGATGCCTTTTAAATATTGTGATTGTACCAGCCTCCATCACTTCCTCTGGCAGCTCTTTTCATACATGCGCCACCCTCTGTGTGGAAAAAGTTGCCGCTTAGGTCCCTCTTAAATCTTTACCCTTTCACCCTAAACCTATGTCGTCTAGTTTTGGACTCCCCTACCCTGGGGAAAATAACTTGGCTATTCACCTTATCCATGTCCCTCATGATTTTACAAACCTCTAAAGGTCAACCCTCAACCTCTGATGCTCCAGGGAAAACAGTCCCAGCCTATTCGACCTCTCCCTACAGCTCAAACCCTCCAACCCTGGCAACATCCTTGTAAATTTTTTCTGCACCTTTGCAAGTTTCACAACATCCTTCTTCTAGCAGGGAGACCAGAACTGAATGCAGTGTTCCAAAAGTGGCTAACCAATGTCTCGTAGAACTACAACATGACTTCGCAACTCCTGTACTCAATGCACTGACCAATAACAGCAAGCATACTGAATGTCTTCTTCACTATCCTGTCTACCTGTGAATCCACCTGCCACAAACTATGAACCTGCACCCCAAGGTCTCTTTGGTCAGCAACACTGCCAGGACCTTACCATTAAGTGTATAGGTCCTGCCCTGATTTGCCTTACCAAAATGCAAGATCTCACATTTATCTAAATTAAACTCCATCTGTCACTCCTTGGCCCATTGGCCCATCTGATCAAGGTCCCGTTGTACTGTGAGGTAACCTCCTTCGCTGTCCATTATACCACCAATTTTGAAATACTTTAAATTATTAGATAAATTCATATGCGATGATTCCAGAAAATAATATTGAAATGTAGCACTGGGTCACAGGAAAGTACAAGTACATAGTTTTGATTTTTGCTTAATATTTTTTAGTTTGATAGGGAAAAGAGACTAGATAGTTGATACCTATAATTGCTTTTGACCCTATGGTGCATAATATACCTAAATTCAAAGTCACATCACAGACTACAGTGACAGGGTTTTCTCCAGTTTAGATTCTTTAAACTCCTTTCTATTTCCCGCAAACTTGCATTACCACTTCTGTTGACTCCACTAAGGAGCATAAACTGTTATTGATATTGTTCTTGTTGAGCTCAGGCACACTTTCCATACACTATTGCTCTTTCGATTCTCAGCTTTTGGATTTTCATATTTAATTTTGGAGCCTTAATAAAAGACTACAACCCAACATTTTCGTTTCAATCCATAATTGTCCAAATCATTGATATTCCCAGACATAATTTGTAGATTGCTCAAAACATATGATGGGCACTACTTGCTGAGAACTGTCACAATATGACCCTGACCCTATGTTATAGTTAATTTAAAACTGGGTTACAATCTTTGTCTCCTGTTTTCTTACTCCTAGGTAATGTCTATGTCCAAGCAAACCTTTTTTAAAGAGCAAGGCAGATCTGTTTTTTCATTGTTTGCTGTCAATATTCTGTGATTTGTAAACAGGTCACACAATTCAAATTTGTACTGTCTGGCCCAGACTGACAAGAAAGGCTGTGATTGATTTTATTTTTGGCTATACTAGGTATTGGGAAGTTTCTCATGAAGGATGGAAGTTACTATGAAGGAGAGTTTGTGAATGGAGAAATAGAAGGGAATGGTATCCGGTACTGGGCTTCCTCAGGTATGAACACTCCTCATGTTACTATCTGTTAAATTGATCTTTTCACAGATGGTTTTAAACACAACATCTTTTAGAAGAAAATATAATTTAGCAAGTTAAGATCTTGGGGAATTGAGCAAGTGAGCTTGTTATGTGTCATTTTCACTTCAGTGATTTCATACACCCAATTAAAAATTTTTGTACATTATTACAATTTGTGTTTCTGAACAATTTAAAATTAATGTCTTTGTTTCCTGCACAGACTTTGTGCCCTTAATTTATTTCTTTGTTTGTAAATGTTTAAGTTCTTCTTGGACCATTCCTATTAACCCCATCCTTTGTTTAATGTTGATTAAGTATTAGTATTATTGCTGCTTCAGCTGATCGTCAAAAACTTGCATGTATATTGTACTTTTAATCTATTAAGACATCCCAGAGAACTTCACACGAACACTATCAAACATCATTTGACACCTTTCCACATAAAGGATATATCAGGGTTGATGATTAAAATCTTGGGAGATAGGTTTTGAGGGGCATCTTAAAAGAGGTAATTTATGGATAAGCTTAGGGCCTGGGAAGTTGTGGTCACAGCCAGCAATGATGAAGAATTAAATTTGCTGTCATATGAGAGGCCGGAATTATGTGAGTGCAGAGTTCACAGAAGAATTTGAAAAGAAGGAATAAAGTTTTAAAACAGCTGCTGTTAACAGACAGAGAGGCAACGTGGGTCAAAGGTACAATGGTGATGAGTGACTAGGACTTGGTGCAAGTTAGGTAACAAGCAGCAGAACTTTAGCTGAACTCACATTTAATGAGTCACAATGATCCCATTTGGCTTAGTGAAGAAAGTTTTATCAGTAGATATGCTGGGCCAGTGATAACGATTGTATAGAGGTGGAAGCAGGTGATCATTTCACAGTTCATTGTGAATAATTTTCTCAGTGTGTCCCTTGTGAAAAGTGCCTGGACGTGGATATTGGATAAGGTTGGGGGTTGGGTTTCTCTGTGATGGCCTGTGATGAACAGCCTGCTTGTAAATTTATTATCTTGGCTCATACGTAAGTAGTAGATGCTCAGCCCCTTTGTGAAGGAAGAACATGCAGTTATATGCAGCACTTCACACAAACAATGGCTGCTTAATGAGGTAGAGAGGGCACGCGGCTCTTTGAAGCAATTCCTAGCAAAGATTCGATACCTGAAGGAAAAGGAGTGGAGAAACTTAAACATAATCAAAATGTGAAATGCTTTTTAATTTTTATAGGAAATGAATATTGTGGACAGTTCTCACAGGGAGAGCTCAATGGATTTGGAGTGATGAAGTACTTTGATGGTGCTCGGTATGAAGGAGAGTTTCAGTATGGCAGCCGAACAGGTGAATGTAATTTTGTCTGTTTTTTTTTAATCCATGTGCAGCCTGCCTGTTGAACTTCACATTGTATCTTATGACATTCGCTATAACCATAGAACCAGAGGCTGACCTTCTGCTTGTTACTTATAGAATGTGTAAGTCTACCTTAATTCTTTGTCTAGGACATGGAGCGCTGATAGATAAAGAGGGCCAAGTGTACCGAGGCTCCTTTCACAACAATAAGAAACAAGGAGAAGGAGAAATGCACTATAAGTAAGTGAAACCTAGAACTGAGATTCTGATATTTTTATAATCAACCTTTTCAGAGTTGTTAATATATGGCTCTGGAGCAGGTGGGACTTGAATCTAGGTCTGATGCTTTTGTCAAGTCCTCCCGAGTTAGTGAGGCAGTATTTATACATGTGCAGAATAAATCCCACACCTGTTTCCAGCTTCATCCACTTATTTTCTTATCTTCTTATTTTCCTTTAACTCATCTTCCACCCACTGAATTTTGAAAGTCCGAAAATATTATGTACAGTGCTGCATTGAATATGTATCATAGAAACAGCCCATTCAGCTCAACCGGTCCATGCTGGTGTTTATCCTTTACATAAGCTGCCTCACTCCTTACTTCATCCTACCCTAACAACATATTTTACTGTCCGGAAAATCCCATGGAAAAACTTTTTGAAAATGGTAATGGAAAATCCAAAATCTTAAAAATGGTAGCTGAGAGGGGAAAATGTTCCCAATATTTTTGAGGGGAAATCTCTCCCCTCATTGTTCAATCAAATCTGAAATGTGACTCTCTGGGCAAGGTACCAGATTGTGATAAGCTCCATAAAGTGTAGTTCATCTGGGACTCTGTGCTTTCAGAAGTGAAGAAAGCATTCGGTATGCTTGCTTTTATTGGTCAGTGCATTGAGTATAGGAATTGGAAGGTCATGTTGCAGCTGTACAGGACATTGGTTAGGTCACATTTGGAATACTGCATGTAATTCTGGTCTCCCTGCTATTGAACAATGTTGTGAAACTTGAAATGGTTCAGAAAAGATTCACAAGGATATTGCCAGGATTGGAGGGTTCGAGGGAGAGGCTGAATAGGCTGGGGCTATTTTCCCTAGAGCATCAGAGGCTGAGGGGTGAACTTAGAGAGGTTTACAAAATCATGAGAGGCATGGATAGGGTGAATAGCCAAGGTGTTTTCCCGGGGGGTGGGCAAGTCCAAAACTAGAGGGCATAGGTTTAAGGTGAGAGCAGAAAGATTTACAAGGGACCTAAGGGGCAACATTTTCACGCAGCGGGTGGAGCATGTATGGAATGAGCTGCCAGAAGAAGTGGTGGAGGCTGGTACAAGTACAACATTTAAAAAGGCATTTAGATGGGTACATGAGTAGGAAGGGTTTAGAGGGATGGGGCCAAATGCTGGCAAATGGGACTAGATTAGTTTAGTATATCTGGACAGCATGGATGAGCTGGACCGAAGGGTCTGTTTCCATGCTGTACACCTTTATGACTCTATAAGAGGACAGGAATGGATTAGACTGTCAGAAAACTGTCAGAGAAACTTGGCCTCTGTTCTCATTGCACACAGAACACAGAGAAGAGGGCACAGCACCCTGCAGATGATGAACTGTAAAAATCAATTAATGAGGAAAAGGATTGCTTTGACAAGGACTAATGACTCTTGTACTGCTGGGTTAGAAAGTCTTTGTTGCTCCATCAATACAAATTCCATTCTGTCAAATCTCAAGTGGATTCTTTTGTGAAGGATTTCATTAATATGCCCGCTTGCAGTTACTCATCTATACATAGTCATGTTTTCATGACCTTGTGCTCTTGTTTCATGGTGGTGCCTTGCTCATAAACATTGCCTGCCTTCTTTCAAACATCTTCCTTATAACTTTAATATATCCATTTTGTTTTCATTGGCTTTGATTGTCTGACTCTCCCTGTGTTTAAACAGTACTGTTCAGTCACTGTCTATGCTGAGTTGGCTAACCTTTGACTGGGTTGGAGGCAGGGGATCTATGCAAGGGGTCATAATATGCGCCAGGGCCAGGGTGATGTCAATAAGGTATAGTTCTCGCTCCTGCTTGTTCTCTAGTGACCCCCGCTGGAAAGTATGTGTTTGTAATTGTCGGATAAAGAAGGCAATAGGCTCAGCTGAGAGCCTCCAGGTTCACATACAATGAACAACTTCTTTTTCAGATATAAGCAGACACTTTAAAAAGCAGGTATCTTCAGGAAAGAAAATAAATAGAGGGGAAAAACAGGTGAAAATGCAAGGGAACCAGTATCACCGAAAAAGGGAATGAACTTGATATTATCTGTAGCTTCATTTATATTATGCTGAGGCTGCAGCCAGTGATACCAACTCATTCCTCTGTTCTGAGGAAGGGTCACCGGACCCGAAATGTTAACTCTGTTTTTTTTCCTTCACAGATGCTGCCAGACCTGCTGAGCTTTACTGGCAACTTTGTTTTTGTTCCTGATTTGCAGCATCCGCAGTTCTTTCAGTTTTTATACCAACTCATTACCCTGCCAGTAAAGTAAGGGCATCAGTGAATAAATAGGTACAATATTTTCAGCACTGTATAATTTTTTTTTTCCTTTTCCACATAATATCCTGAAAATATGGATTCAGTCCTTGTGTATAATTTTCTACAGATGCTGCGTATACTGTTCCACAGGCCCTGGGTAATGTAGAGGTACTGTTCCACGGACCCTGAGTAATTTTTTTTAATTCAATTCATTCATGGTATATGAGCATCGCTGGCTTGGCCAGCATTTATTGCTCATTCCTAACTGTTCTGGACAATGTGGTAGCGAGCTGTTGTCTTGAATCCCTTGGCATGTAGGAACACCCACAGTGCAGTTAGGAAGAGAGTTCCAGGATTTTGGCCTAGCAACTGTGAAAAACAATGATGTAGATCCAGTCAGGAACTTGCAGGTGATGGTGTCTCTGCACATTTACTGCCCCTGTCCGTCTAAGTGGTAGTGGTTGTGAGTTTTAAGAATGCCGTACAAGGAATCTGGATGAGTTACTGCCATTTTGCTGTAATAAATGGGGTGTAAATCAAGCAGGCTATTTTAATGTGGATGGTGTTGAGCTTCTTGAGTGTTATTGCAGCTGTAGTCATCCAAGCAAATGGGAGTATCTGAGTGGGATGCTCTTTCGAGCGTCAGTGCAGACCCAGTGAGAGGAATGGCCACTTTCTGCACTGTGGGGATTCTATGATCCTATGAAACACCAGCAGAATACTTTACCCCTGATTCCCATTGACTCCAGTTTTGCTAGGGCTCCTTTATGCCGTACTCAATCAAATGCCATCTGATGTCAAGAGCAATCACTCTCATTTCATCTCTTGAACTGAGTTCCTTTGTCCATCTTTGGACTAAGGCTGTAATGAGGTCAGGAGCTGAGTGAACGTGATGAAACCCAAACTGAGTAGGTTATTTCTTTGCTTGATAACACTGTCGATGATCCTTCCATCACTTTGTTGATAATCTAGAGTAGACTGATTGACCAGATTGGATTTGTTGCACTTTATGGACTGAATATACCTGGGCATTTTACCACAATACTGGGGGTAGATACCAGTGTTGGAACTGTAGCGGAACAGCTTGGGTAAAAGCACAGCTAGTTCTGGAACACAGGTCTTTAATATTATTGCTGGAGTGTTGTTGGGGCTTGTAGTCTTTGCAGTATTAGTTGCTTCAACTGTTTCTTGACATAGTCATGGAGTGAATCGAATGGGCTGAAGACTGACATCTGTGATGCTGAAGAGTTTGGGGGGAATCTAATATGGACCATCTACTCAGTACTTCTGCCTGATGATGACGGCAAATGCTTCAGCCTGGTATCTTACACTGATGTGCTTGGACCCCCCCCAAGGCCATCATTAAGGAAGTATGTATTCTCCTCCAATACGTTGTGTAATTGTCCACCACATTTCACACGGTAGGACTGCATATTTTACATCTGATCTATTGGTTGTGGGATCACTTAGCCCTGTCTATTGCCAGTGTCTAGTATCTGGTATGTAAACAATCCTGTAGCTTTACCAGGTTGACTCCTCATTTTTAGGTATCCCTGGGGTATTGCTCCTGGGTATTCCCTCTTACATGTTTCATTTGTCTAGGGGGATGATATAGAATGTAGAGTGGGCCATGAGGTTACAGATTATGGTTTGGTGTGTCCAGAGGGCATGAAGAGAAATTAAAGCAAAATTGTATTTCTTTCCGTATTTTTGTGTTTAAATTCTATTTATTTTGAAATGAATAATCTTGCTGGATAGCTGAGTCTGATCACTTGATCATAATTCCAGAAACTTTTGAAACTCCTGTGGTGTATAGACATTCCAGCTAAAGCCGACAGAAAGGATTTGGAGATGAGCCATCTGCTTCCAGCCAACTTCTGTCAAAGGAAAATATTTCTAGAGAAATAGTGGGGTGCAGTTCCACAGGCACTGAGTAATTTTGGGGTACATTTCTTCAGCCACTGGGTAATGTTGGAGTCCAGTTGCACAGGCATTGAGTAATGTTGGTGTGGATTTCCACGGGCATTGAGTAATGTTGAGGTACAATTCCACAGGCATTGAGTAATGTTGAGGTACAATTCCACAGGCACTGAGTAATATTGGCATACATTTCGACAGGCACACAGTGTAATGTTCCATAGGCACTGAGTGATACAGGAGTGTAGTTCAACAATATCTTACTCAAGCAGCCTTTCTTTGTGTGTTTTGGCAAACTGTTCAGCTTGTCTTGAACTGGATAGTCAAGTTTTTCAGTGGGCGTCTGGCAATTCCAAAAGTGGAAATCTGCTGCCAAAAGATTTTTTTTTAACTAGACGCCTATTTTAGTTGAAATGTGAGAACATTAATTTATTCTCATGTTATTAACATTTTTAATAAATTCTTCATCAGCAAGGCAATTTTCTATATGTTCCTATACCCCGTCCAGTTTTGATCTTAGTTAAATGTGGCTGGCCAATGTTTGACCCTGGTAAACCACAGCGGAGGCTGCTGTTGGCTGCACCTTATGTCCACACACCTGCACTTTCCAATAGAGAGTACTAGATAGTGTTTAGGAGCGGAAACCCTTGCTGATTTTCCTCACTCCCACTTCCCACAAGCCAGATGCATTAAGGCCAGTTGTTGGTTCCTCCCCTTCTTGCCACTGAATTTGGCTGATGTTGCACAGATTGGAACCTAAAACTTCTCTCGTCTACTTGACTCTGTGCTATACTTAATGAGGCCTTTACTCCAATTACAGTTAGAGGGGTTGCCAAGATTACTTCTACAAATTAATGGATTGGTGTAAAGAAAATGGCCATGGACTGGAATCGGTCTTGAACAAAAGGCATAAACTCTCCGAATCAGTCTTTTTTATTAGCTACCAGTAATGCTCCTGCTTTGTCCTGCCAGTGGGAGTTGTGAATGACTTCACGGCAGGAATATTAAATTGATCAAAGAGTACATTAGTACAAAGCAAATGTGCCAGTACAGCTTCACAGAGTCAGTTCCTGACCTGAATTGCTCTGAGTAGAGTGATGTGAGATGCTCCTCTACACCTTGTCTCTACCCTGTTGTGTTTTGGACCAGACGGACTAATTCCAATACTGGCGAAAGACAGAATAGGCAAGAGCGGAGTCGTTGTCAATGAAGTGTCTGATTGTTTGTTCTCTTACCTTTGTGTTGGAAAGCTGTAAGTTTGAGTCCCACTTCTGGTACCTGAATGTTTGATCTAGGCTAATACCTCACTGAGCATTGAGTGAAGATGGTATTGTCAGAAGTGTTACATTTTGGATGAGGTATTAAAATGAAATCCAGCTGCCTGCGTGTAAAACTATTACACTGTTTTCATTCAAATAATGGACTTTTCCTGGTGTTCCAGGGAATACTTAAACCCTCAACCAACACCAGAAACACAAACAGACTGTCTTCATTCCATTGGTGTTGGCAGGATTCACCTGTCTGCCCATAAAATAAATGTGACTGTGATATTTCGCAGGTAATTCAGCTGTTTTCTTTCCTTCATTCTTGGTACATGGGCTTCATTGGAAAGGTCAACATGTATTACATATTCTTCATTGCCCTTGCAAAGGTGGTGATGTGAACCACTGCATTCTGTATAGTGAAGGTGCTGTGACTGTGCTGGTGGATAGGGAATTCCAAGATTCTGATCTAGGAGGCTTCTTTGATGAAGGAACAGCAATAATCTTTTAGCTTGTGATAATTGGTGATTTTGAAGGGAACTTGGACGTGATGATGTTTCCACATGACAGTTGCGTCCAACGGGTTTAGGATGTGCTGTATAAGAAGCTTTAGTAAGTTGTTGAAGTGTAGGCTATAGATAGTACATGCTGTAACCGTGGTGTGCCAGTGATGGAGGGACTGGATGTTTAACTTCTGAAGCACCTTGAAATGTTATCGAAAATAAAAGTTCTTTCTTCTTTTCCAGCACTTTATTTGGTACGTATTTAACAGTTTGAGACTGATTTCCACAGAATAAGTGCAGCCTAAAAAGAGAGTAAGGTGAAGGTGGCCAACTGCCATCTTAGCTTTCTCCGTTGAGGCTATTTTGGTGCAGTTTCAGCAATAAGTTTGTGTACTGGTGAGCTGTGACTGTCATCTGTTATTTCCTGAAGAAAAACATTATGAAAATTTTACAAAGAGTTTAAGATAAGGTAATAAACACATTCACAATTAAAAGACATGAAGTTTACATCAGTGAGGATATCCTACCTGGCAGCAAAGCATGAACTGTACTGTGCTTAGCTTAAGTGTGAAGTTGCGCCTGCTGCACTGGATCTTACGGTACTTCCTCTTTGTCTCGCTTTGCTTCAGGAAACTCCAGCAGACGGTCTGGAGCCTGCAGAGAACAGATTTATTTATTTTTCTGCAGTTTGAGCATACCAACAACAGCAACAGCAAAAACTTTCCAACAGTAAGTTGGCAGTGTTGCAGCTTCAGCTGAATTGATGTCCTCTGACTGTGCGTGCCTCTAATACTTAGCCAGCACTTTCTCTGTATTTTAAAAAAAAATTCCAAGCTGCTGACTCATGTTATGGTGTGAATCCATGAGCTTTGTAGATTTCTGGTGTCTTACCCTTGTACTCATTGTTTATCTGCAAGCACAAGAAATTACTGTTGGCTGGCTAGTCCACCTAGGGGAAATTACAGCATAGGCCATTTCCTCCTTACCCAATGTGCCGCTTCCAGTAGTGATCACTACATAATGATTGGGGCAAGAACCTTCGCAGATAGCCTCATCCCACCCAAGTCCAGGGTTTCAAAGGTCAAAAGTAGTGACTCTACAATGGCTCCCCTTGGGGTCAGCAAAACCCATCACCTACAAGCGATTCAATCTCCTGATCTGTGCATTTCTGTTTCAAATTGATTGGTGTGCTTGACTGTCAACCGGGGTGCAGGTGGAGTAACAAGCTGACTGCACGTTTTTAATTCAATGCTTTCAGATGAATCATTTATGAACTTATTCAAAAGTTGAATTAAAAAAAATAACTCCTATTTCTCGCTCTTATTCCAGGTATGGGAGCCACTATCAAGGAGATTGGGTCCTGGACCAGCGACAGGGCCATGGCATTATGCAGTATGCTGATGGTTCTCTTTATGAGGTATTCCTATTTGGCAGTAGATGTCACTGTGACCACAGTTTTCATCTCAAAGGCAACACTATGCAGGCTTTAACAATTTGCAGATTTTCAGGAGGCCAGCTAAAACTTGTAAAGCTGCAAAGTTTGTTCAAAAACAAAGTCTAAGAACGACACCACACAAAGTGTTGTAAGGTTTCTTTTCTCTACCCTTTTCCCCACACTTCAACTATCAATCCCTTCCCATCTGACAACACTAACGTTTATCTGTTTATCCCTCGAACAGTGATGTAATATCTCAATAAAGTGGCTATTCCTTATGTGAAAGCTTTTCCAATGAGCATCAGCTAGTTATTTGGTCATTTGAGAATGTCACAGTTGACCTCAATCTGATGCTCATCCACTGTCACTTTATGAGCTCCAGATAAAGTTAAAAACAATATTCACATTAATTCCTAATTTGGTTCTAGTTGCTGGTTTCAATGTTTGAATGTTTGAATTTAGAATTCCTTCACCAATAATAGAACAGCCTATCTGAAATCTTCAGGCTCATCAAATTCAAATGGGGCTTATCTTGCTCAAGCAAGTTATATTGCCTCTATTCAAACCACAAGATTGTCAGAGTGACATGTGGCTCAGGTGACACAGGCTGGATTCCATAACTTTAGAAAATTAAAGGCCTGAGTTAATTGTGACATTTGAACCCCAGTCTGGTATGAGATCAGTTAATGTGGCACAGTCTGGGGATGAAGAATGGTGCCTTCCCATTCAGTACAACAGCACACAGTTCATTTACAGTACTGGGCAAATTTTCAAGTTCAAATGCTTAATTCCATTAATTGAATCTATTCTTATAAGGCAGAAAAACAGTACCACCTTCTAAATAAACTCTTCAAGGTTCCTCCTGCTATACTGTGGTAACAGAAATAACTCCACAGAGGCCGGTATGCCATCACCAAGCTACCCTTTATTTAAAGATGGAGAGCCCTTGACACTGGCCCAGCTTCCTCAGAGCCAGCTCTGAGTGAATAGAATCTTTGACACTCCTGTTTATATCTGTCAGCCAGGGCTCCCTGTTTGGGGCTGTTAACCTGGTCCAATCAAGGAACTCATATTCTATGAGGTCCACACGATTGCCCTCATTACAATCACTACAGTAACCTTTTACAAAACCTCTTATGGGAAGTCAACCTCACTGATAAGTTTAGCATTTGTTACCCATCGCTAATTGTTCTAGAATTGAGTGGCTTGCTGGGCCGTTTCAGAGGATCAGTCAGGAGTCAATCATATTGCTCTGTTGCAACAGTCACATGTGGGCCCAACCAGTAAGCATTGTAGATTTTCTTCACTAAAGGACAGCCATGAAGCAGGTGGGTTTTCAGTAATGATGATACGGTTACTATTACTGAGACCAGCTTTATGTTCCAGATTTTCACTAATTTAACTTAAGTTCCATCAGCTGCCATGATGGGATTTGAATCCGTTTCCCAGAGTCTCTGAAGTGCTAATCCAGTGAAATAACTACCCTTCTCTCATCTCTACACTGCAGAGTGATGTGGGGATCGCTCCCTCTGGAGAGTGGTAAATGGGGGTCACTGCCTCTGCGGAGTGGTAAATGGGGGGTGTCACTGCCTCTGCGGAGTGGTAAATGGGGTGTGGTCACTGCCTGTGCGGAGTGGTAAATGGTAGATGGGTGGTGTCACTTTTCTCGTGAAGAAACAAATGATGGTGATCATCCCACTGTAAACCAATAAATGAGATTTAATGCAGGTCAGAATGATGGATGGGACAGTACAGTAGTAAATGGAGATTCTCCTATAATGGGATTGTTCAGGAAGTTTAAGTGGAAATTCCATGGAATGATAACTGCAGTGAATCCCCAGTCTAGGCTGTGCCACTGAACGGAAAGTCAGACAGATAGTCACAGGCCGCAGTACTGGATTATAGGATACCATTGACGAAGTTGTTGGAGGTGGTGGCCAAGCTACCCTTTTAGGTGGGGAAAGGTTTGTGCTCTGTGGAAAAGGACTGTAAACATAATGAAATGTGTGTTTTTCATAAAATTCAGTGCAAATAATACTTCAGTCCTAAATGAATAGTCCTGTATAAAATGGTTTCGCACCTACCTTGTTGTTCATAACTTTTAATCTTTAGGTCTGGTTTCAAAACACAATCCGAAAGATGCAAAGCATGATCAAATATCTCTTGAATGACGATAGTGTTCTATGGGGAGGAGACCAGTCAATGCAAATTCTATCTTAGAATAAAATAAAACTCTGGCATACAAATGGTTAACTCCTGCAGGACTTTGGATGCCATTTGGCATCATTGCCCGCTGTAGGCTCCAGGCTCCAGTCTCCCCAGACGTCAGTATTGCAGCTGTGTGGAGTGTGTGCAGGCAGGAACGTTACCTCACCATGGCACTATGTAATGAATGAATTAATTCAGATTCCGTGAATGATAACATCATTTTCCCATAGTATAATCACTTCTCTTTTCACATCATTCACTGGAAATGTATTTGCATGTGTTGTGTGTGTGCTTGAGAGTTTTGGTTAGTTATGAATGTTAGTTTGAATGTTCTGAAATCCTGATGCGCTTGAACTTGTCAAAATTAATAATATGAGAAGTTAGTAGTAAAGGTAACGGCGCCATAGTCCCAGAGGACCAGAGGACCATAGGGCTGTGCTCTCGTTAGAGAGAGACGACTTGTGATGGTTTAACCTGAGGTTCTTGAGTGGGGGGTGAGGTTGAGAAGGAGAGTTTCCTTCATGGTAACCTCAACCAGGGCAGGAATTGAACCCCCAATGTTGGCATCTCTCTGCATCGCAAACCAACTGAGCTAACCAACCCACAGTGAGAAGTTAATAGGTCAATACACTCCAACCTTGGTTGAGAGAATTCTTTCTCCTGCATACCTCCATGCTTTCTCACCATTCCACTATTAGTAACTGACTCCTTAGCCACCAAGCATTCTTCTCTTCACTTTTGATGATCCGCACTCATATTCTTAAAAGTCATTGTGCCTTCAGTCTCCTTTTCTTATTGAGCAATGCAGTGCCTTCTGCTTCTCAAATAAAACTATAAGACATAATCTTACAGCAGTTTGAACAACGTGAGCTATGCCAAAAGATGTAGCAAAATCTAATAAGAAGTCCAGTGAGGCCTATCTCAACATTGGGAACAACTTGCTGCATCTTTTAACTAATTTCTGTGAGTCGAGGTGAGATTCTGACTTGACAGCAGCGCGTTGTCTTTCAGAGGGATTATTACTTGTTAAAGATCTTATTAACTGCAGATCTTAGCTCATTAATATGCAAGTTTCTATCCTACCATCCACCTTGAGCAATCTAGACACCAAGAATTCTTGACATGCAGTCATTGTGGGTTCCTGGTGATTTCAGGTTGCCACTTTGCTCCAAAGGACCTTCATGATAGACATCAAGCACCAACATCTCAGGACATGCTCTATGGGCACTGGCCCATGTACCCCATGGTCCATGGATATTGGCATCCAACATGAGCCCGTGCCTAGAACCCTCATGGCACATCTCCAATTCTCTTACAATATGCTTCTGCACTTTAGTGCTGAACCTGATGTGCAACAGCAACCATCACTGCAGTGCTGCAACAAGGTTGCTTTGCACTCAGGACACACAGCCAGTTCATAGACTGGACCAGGCTGCAATCTGGGCTGTTCACTTGCTCTTTTCATGCCCACTCGTTTTGTGTCTGGACGCACATAATATCCTTGTCTTGTTTTTTTTTTGCACCTTGTCTCACAGCCAGAGATACATGGCTCACAGTTATGCTGTATTGTCATTCAGCACAGACACAAAGCCAGAGCGTTTGTCATAGTTGTCAGTAGTTCCCAGTCAAGTCAAGAGATATAACCTTTGGTTGGGGATCCTGGTAAGTTAAAGGTAACCTCCAATACCAGTTCAGGGATTGGAAAAGGTGAGCCAGCCTCTCAAAGTGCTCAGAATCAGGATCCTCTTTTTCATAAAGAGTGAGGAGCCAAATGTCTAGCAGCCTGTCACTCATCCTGACCCTTTCTACCCTATTGTGTGCTGTTTACCTCCTGGAAAGAGAGACAGGCAGGTATTGAGGGAAATGAAAATAGGAGGCATAGCTGTTACTTTTGCAGGTGGGAAGATGTCCCAAGCATGTGAGTAGGCTGCACAGAGGCCGGGTTAGTAGTGTCAGGGGTTGGGGTGGGTGAGCATTAGTGAGGTGATCTGTTGCACACAACAGTGAGAGTGGTAGAGCGTGATCCTTGGTGGTTAGGGGCTACAATGGCAGAGATATAGTGAGTGTGAGATGTTGGAGAGTAGATAATGGCACTTGTGCTCGTGGAGTAGAGAAGGTCATTGACTGTCCCATATCACTGTGCATTCCTCCATGTGGCTGAGACTGCCGAGACCAGCCTGGCATGATCTGGTGTTGTTGCCACCTTTGGTTCTGGGGGAGAAGGATTTCCCATCTCTACACCACCCTGTCCAACAGAACTGCCAAGACTCTATCCACATATTGGGATGCCAATTTTCCCTTGTCTGTCATGTCGAGGGCAAATGTCAGGAAACTTGCAGGACATCTCTGGACTGATAATGCTTATCTGAGTGCATTTTAAAAATAACTCTGTGCCAAGCATGCCGGTCCATTCCAGGATGACTTGGCAGTGGTGTGGTGTTCTAGGTCATCAGTGATAGAATGGGGTTAGAATTGGATGAGAGGGGCAAGGTAGGTCGTTAATAAGGCAGTTTTGGTAAGATTCAGCAAGAAAACGCGTGAGGCCTCATGGAGAGAAATCCCCTATGAAACTTGACAAAATTGACATCTAGCCAAAAATGCACAAGATTCAGCCTTAGAAACTTGTCTTTTTTTTTCCCTTTAGCTGTAAGTAGACTATCTGCAGCCTGTAATTCTCTGCCTCTGGTCATTACCATATCCCCATACGAAAAGGTTGAGAAGGGAAAAAAGGCTATTGAGGCCATCAGCTTCCCACTGGTATTCCATCCCACTGG